TGTTTTTACACAATGACATTGTAATAAAAATAAGCACTAGGGTAGGTTTTTAAAGACTTGTAAAAAAATTGCACCATCCCCTTTAAGAACACTATAAGACTTGATACGCGATTACCTCTATCGAGAAAATGGTATGTATACAGAATATAAAGTCGATATAGTTTGTACATCTGAATAACTCACTTAATGTCGATGGATAACGATTGCTTTCTTGAGTAAAACCTATTTTAAAATAGACAGATTTTAATGTCACATAGGAAAGAATGCGATGTAAAATTATTTAATGAAATGTAATTGGAAACACTCCGACCGGTTTAACTAAAATCGATGAATTCATGTTAAAAAAAAAAATTTATACCAAAAAAAATCAGGGTTCTTTTAAATAGTGCGTATCATGACTTGTTAAAAGTAATTCACGTGACAATACAAACGATTACTAGTTTTATAATTGAATTTTGCGGAAGTTGCAACACGCTTGTTTCCTATCTTCCGAGAACAATTTCAGATCTAGCAGCGTGTGCTTATTGTCTATAATTAAGAAGACAATAGCCGCATGAGCACAGGAAACTTAAGTGTCATTACCACGGGCGTAATGTCGTTGTATGCGGTACGGTGTACACCCCTATACCTTTCATATAGTTACAAGGTTAACATTGAACATTTTAGTTAAATATTTTATTAGTCATATACGTACTTCGTACTAATTACAACTTAATCTGGTGAATATGTGTGATACAGTCTCTAAAAACTAGTTTAATTAAACATTTACTACATTTCGTTAATTTAAAACTCGAAACTTTCGATCTTTGTGACATAATTGAGTGATCTATCGAGTTTTTTTCAAATTGTTTTAAATGTACAGAATTTCTTTTTGTAATTTTAACTTTGAAATTACATTGTTATCTTAAAACAGTGAGTATTCAAATAGAACAATAGCGGTATCGAGTTACGATCGATCAGAGGCGGGCGCCGCCGTCAGCCGGTAAGATTTTGCGATACTCGGATTATCAGCGGTCGCAATATAACTTTCGATTCAATAACATTTCGTAACGTGCCGTAATCTCCGTTGTGCTTATGATCGCCTGGTACTGTGTGCACTTTCTTTTCCTAGTTACGAGAGTGCGATTAAAATTTTTGTATGTAATTTTTATCGGTCCATAAGTTTTTATCGAGATCGGATTTACACTGTTCCAAACATAACACAACTTTTTTGTTACTAAAGTAAACCTTTGTTATTTTTCTGATTTATGTAATCCTATTTATTGTCTTTCATACTTCAACTGGTCAATGACAATAATTAAATCTATTTTTTAAATTACAAGTTTAAACAAATTCGTATCTCTTTTAAATATCTTTGCCGATGATTTTAATTAAAAAAAAAAACAAAAACGAATATAGGCCTTTCGAAATTTGCTATTTAAAAAACTGGTTGTGAAATGAAACCTCGTTTACTAATATTTTTAATGACTAGGATTTATTACCTTTACAAGTTTCCTTTTACGTTTTTATGTGGACTTTTAAAAAGATGAAAACGCTAAAAGCTGCTTTTTATACAGAAATGTATGTGAATGTTTTAGGTTATGTATATAACGGGAATTTTGATGTTAACGAAGTTAAGCATAATCTATTTAAAATTTTCAAGTTTTGAAAAAGTTACCTAATTCAATTTCACGTGTATATCGATTAGTGAATCGATACCAGTATAAATATTATTCAAACTAAATTAATAACTCGAACTTCTAAGTTATTTTTTAATTGAAGTGGCTAATGACACGCTGTAGGAATCGCTCGCTCTGTACCGTTAGTTGCCGTAGGCGAGCCACGAGTCTCATGGGCCAAGTTATTTTATTACCGGCTTTATTGCAAGACGATTACTACGGTTTTTAATTAATTTATAACTCTCATTTATTAGAAACACGAGTGTGTGTAATAAGAGTTTGGAACTAAATGATTTTTATGGTATAATGTTGATATTTTTATACTTATTTAGTCTTTTAACCTAATCTAACTTATAACTAATCTCAGTAATCTTATTTCTTACTAATATTATAAACGCATAAGTTTATATGGATGGATGGATGTTTGTTAGAGTTTGTAGCCTTACACGGCTGAAAGAATTTCGGTGAAATTTGGTACAGATGTATAGGATAGTCTACAATAACACATAGGCTACACTTTTTTTTTTAATTCCACGCGGACGGCGTCGCGAGCGAAAGTTAGTATCAATATATTGAAGACATCGTACGTATATAATTAGTGAATACATGTAGATAGTTAGAAAAACATCTTTGGTATTAACTTTTACGCTCAAATGAGAAACTTATGAACCCCGAATTTTTTGTAGAATGTATGAAATAAAACACTTATCAAATAAGTGTTTGATGGAAGGTTTTACACTTGTCATTATTTATCAAATAAGGTTATTTTATGTCCTTGAAGACATTTTGTAGATCATTTTATTTAAAAAGCCACCTTATTAATATTTCAATTTCATTTATTTCCGCGTTTAATTTGAAAACCTCTTTGTTCCGCATTTTCTTATAACCATTATTAGTTATTACGATATTGTTTCATCAGATACCGTAACAGAAAATAGACAATCAAGTGGCATAATTTATTATTTCCTTTGCCTTTTAATAGCCTTCGCCGGTCATTTTATTGTTTTGATTAATTGAATCACGTCAAATGGTGTTATTCTTTTGTTACACCTTTGTATTGCGGTTGCGTTGTGTTGAATACACTAGTGCTAGATGCTTACTTATGTATTGTGGATTCACAATAAAGCAATTCAAATATCAGTTTGGTTGTTATTGTATCCCAACTAACCGTGGGTTACAAGAGGAATATGAATATTTCAATCCTCCGTAGACTATGAACTTTTAATTGGCAGATAGTATAAGCGAACGCTAAATAATTATGAGCTGGTATGGAGCATTGCACCAATTTTGTTTTGACAGTCTACCCCGATCAAACTATGGCCAAAAAAAGTCTTCTGGGGCTTAAATATAAATAAAACATTTTACACCGAAATGCCGTGACAAGTGCTTGTAGGATACTCGTATAAAGTTGTTAATTATCTATTGGAATGTATTAAAATAAGCGTTTGACTAACATCAAACACTTACTTGAATTGTAAATCCTGTTAGTTTTACAGTTGAGCTGACGATACGATGTGCAGATGATTATTCTTTAATAATTGTCCCATTATAATTGCTTCGACATAGAAGTACATATATATTAAATACTTATATATAGAAGTATTTATAATGTACTTATACGTTTTTGGCTTAATGATAAAATTAAAGTAACATCAACAAATTCAGATTTCCATTAGAGTTTTTACAAACAAAATTCGAACCTTTCTCCGTCAATACTATAAACATATTTGTATGTATACAGTCTAAATTGTTAAAACCAGTACTTAATATAGAGAACATTGCAATGGATGAGGTGTACAGTTAGGTACGTTGCGAAACGAGTAGGGCGTCAGTACTTCGAACCAAAGTCGAACGGGTACCATCGATATGATACGCGAAACGCCTAATTTTACACTCACTTTACCCAAGTTAAACTATGAAAGACTAAAACTTAAACTACGGAATAAAAAAAATCCTTTTTAATATTATTTCGCTATCTATTCTATGTTGTTTATTTTTCTCTTTACAAATTGAAGTAGCATTGAAAATCAAGTAAACAATATAACCACGTATAATATTGGCAGTTTCATTATCGAAATTGAAACTATATTGTAAGGTAAACAAAAACAATCTGCGATTTTAATCCTAAAGATTTAAGATATAAGTTTCTATAACATAGTAGTATTGTAATGTTTACATTCATTAGTATCCGTCAAAGACAAACAGTATCGTAATCAAGCCAGTCAATAGGCAGCTGGACACCGCATGCGTACACATCATGTGTTACAGCTAATAGATTACAAATCCGTGTAGCAGCTTCGTAACTATTAACCTCAAACAAATGTAACAATACATACACAAATGTCGGAAATACACTGATCTTTATAAATGGATAGGTTGCAAAATTACAGGTTTTTTCGATCCGACTTAAATGCGTATGTTAACGTTACTGATGTTTACGTTTAAATCCTAGCTGCCAACTGTCAACGACAAAATGATGTAAATAAAATAAGCTCAAAGTACCATCTAGCCTGTCTATAGTTATAGGTCAGCGCGTAAATACGATATGCATTTGTTGATAAAGAATATTTGTTGTTGCTGTTTTCTTTTGATTTGGTTTTTACTTTTTTCGCTATTTTTCGAGCTTCCGCCTCCTTGAATCATGCTAATTGTATAAATGACATGTTGCTGCGTTTAATTATGTCTGGCTCCCAGCTTTGTTAGAACCGACTGAAGTTTTTACGTTATTTTTTGCAACTAACTCCCATCCTTCTCAGCGTCAGACATCTAATTCACGTATTTTTTGCAGCGTTTCTTTAAGTTGATATATTTCTTTGCTTTTGTACGATAATTATGACCCAAATGTTTTTCAAACATGTAATGATATTTTAAAGTATTCGCTAAATATGTATTTAAAGGGTTGATGTGTTATTACCTAAATTCAACTGTCCATTAAGTGTACCGTTTTATTGATACAAACTATCTAATGGTATTGAATGCCAAGTAGTCTGCGAAAACCGGCAAATTATGTACTCAGCCGTACTATCGAGAAGGGGCTGAAAACGATCCCGCGACGGATTGATTGATCGCTTTTCACGAATAATATGTTCAACAAACATCGATATTAAGTATTCATAAGCTCGTTATTTGTACATATTTAGGTTATGCTATGAGGTTTTTTATACTTTTTTAGATGGAAGCCAAGCGCTTAACCTAAATATTGTGTAAATACAGCTATAAGAGACCATCTTCAATGGAAATTAACAGTAGTTGTTATGATTTTTCATATGAAAACTGTGTTAAGAAGGTGAGCTAAGACAAAGTGGATGTAGAAATAACTTTAATAGTTATTTTGTTTTCTAGGATCTCCGTGGAAGGTCGAGGTGATGGCGGGGCCGGCGGGCGGCGGAGGCGGGGAACCCACGCGACTCATCCCCGCGCGGGTGCCGGCCGTCTTCGAGATATCCACGTCGCCGGGCGCGCCCACCTTCAGCAAAAATGAGGTGAGATAACAAGTCATGCAACAATATTACATACTTTCACGGTACTTTGTATTAGCTTAAATAAGAGATGCATAATAGACATCTAAAAGCGGTCGCAGTTTGACTAAATAATCGCGCAATTTTGTGCGATTGTATATTGTTTCGCTGCTAATTTAACTGTTTAGTTTCACAACTAAAAATCGAAAAGTGTGCGCACCGACACATAAGCTCATAGGAATCAAAGCTAAACAGCTGTGTTTAGTCAAAAGTGTGCGCGCCCTAAAAGTTCAAATTTAAAAGAAGAAATAAGTTTTAAACAAGTAAAGGATTCTCCTTTTTCTCAGTAAATGCCTGTACAAATTCATGTGTTTTTCAATCAAATACTAGTAACCTTGCGCAGTATGGACAATGTCATCATTTGTAATTTTTTGTCGTGATCAAAACCGAAATATCTCTGAAAGGTGTAGTTCCAATTGTCACGTTTGTTGTGTAAAGTGTAACTTAAACATAATACGCTGCAACGACTTCAAAACTGTCACGATTTCTTTTTATTTTAAGCAACCTGAAATATAGGTTAATGAACTTTGTCACGGAAAATCGATAAAGTGTTGTGTTCGATAATATTACAAAGCAGTGTAACAGTGTAAGTTCTATTGTTAATAATGATATTTTTTTAAATTATTATATACACAGTTGCAAAAATATTCTATCATCGAAGCGAACACTAACTTTAGCCGCAGTATGACTAATGACACAGTTAACTTTTCAAAACATTGTTGTAACTTAATTTTCTAGGGTCACAAAATTAAATCCATTGTTTTGTACATTGTAATGGCACAACATAAACTTTCGCCACTATAATGCTGTCGGTTTCTTATATATAAAGAATTAAATTCATCTCATTAAAGATAAAAAACAAGCTTAGCACATCTGCATGTTGCTTTCGAACTAATTACACTATGAGTGTTCAATGAAGTCTAGATGGGTAGGAAATAAAAGTCCTCGACTGTAGCCAAAGATATAGTCACATTTGGAATGATTTATCCTTGATCGCTATAGCGCTGGCATTTTTGGCTTTTCGATCGACATAGCCAATTTAAGATTTATTGCCTATCGGCTTCCCTTTCCTCTAAGTTACACACATTCATCTGCACAATTTACAAACGTAATATGACGAGTGAACTGATACTTTGGCATTTTTCAATATTTATCGATATTTCATATAAATGTGCGGAAGTTGAATAATATATCCCGTTTTCTATAGAATTGTGTTTATTTCACAGTTAACGTAAGCTCTAATGTTGTAAAACTTTCAACATAATCAGTGACCCACTAACTAGCCTATAATTAACGTATTAGAAAGCAAAAGTTTTGAATACAAAGTTGTGTTGACTACGAGAAATGTTTTCACATAAACCTTTTGTGTAATGTAACACCACCTTTATATTTCTTATATTTAGATACTGAGGAAAATTACAGGTAACGAACCTGTTGCAATATCTTATTTAAACGTTACATGTAATTATTGTTATTTATTGCAAGTGCATTCAGTAATAGTCTTATTTCTTGGTGAATAGCAATTAATAGTTTCCTTAAATAACTTATTCGTGTATTCGTTCATAATATCGATGTTCAATTATTTAAAATACAATATTTTCTTCTATTATGTTTAAACATTTTACTGTATCGAGAGAGAAACGTAGAGGGAGATTCTTGGTATTAAGTAACTAAAACGTCAGTCATCCATTACAGCCAGTACTGTAAATATTCGAATGATAGATGACGACAACTGGAGTGAGGAAAATATGGATATGCCCGTCCAATATTATACTATCGCAACAGAATGTTGCCATTCACCCTCGCCCTTCCAGTTCGTGTAATAAATTGATATTTGCATATTTCGTACGAACCTATTTACTGTAATGCGATATATGAATATTCAAAAATAATCTCTCAAAATTCCATCTTTACCTCGATAGAAACATCTTTAAAGTAGATTGTATACTCGTCAACGTTTTAAAAAAAAATTCAAGCTAATTATACAAAAGAACGCATGTCATCAGTAACTGGGGGGGGGG